CTCACTCTCTCAAAATAAATAAATAAATAAATAAATAAATAAATAAATAAATAAATAAGAAATAAAACAGAACAATTATAAAAACGTTTTGATTTTTTTAAGTACAGAAATGCAACAATTCCAAATTTAAGGTTAAAAAGTCAGTTCTTATCTATTTTGATGCCATAAACATAGTAAATTTCAATCTACATTATAATATATACTCATTTGAAAATATTACAAATAATGCTTTATCTTATGTTAATGTGTCATTTGTTAAACAGGAAAAGGCTGAAATTTGTTTTAATGTATTTTGTTCATTATTAAGTTAACTACATAAGTAATTTAAAAATAAAGTACATTTTACTTAAAATTATTCCTTATACCACACAAAATCTATTTTAAAAAAACAAATGAGATTGGGAAGTGCTGATTCTTTTTACATGACCTAATATATGACCTTTGGGAGACCTACTGTTTGTAAATAAAGGACTTTGGTATAGTAAATTTACTTTAATATTCTCACAAATCCCTAACAGCAACATATGTGAGAACTGAGGCCCAGTGAGCAAAACTGCAAAGCTATTAGTGATTCTGTGCTGCTTCTACAACTCCATAGTAATGCCTCTATGGAAAATTCACTTCGCCAAAAAGTGGTGTACTCTGGCACCACTCTAACTTTGTATTTTATTTCCTTATATTCTCCTTCTTCTAGTTTAAATCACCACCACCAAAACAAGCCTAGGGTGAAAGTTCACACACTTATTTTCAGCTAGACTAGTGCAATAGCTCTTCCCACACCAAAACATGTTTCATATTGATTTAGAGCAATAACCTCCAAAATCTCTTAATTATGATATTCCTTCACACACAAAAACAAGGTACTCTGGGTCTTTACAGTGAGGCCAAAACTCCTAAGCCTATGACTCAAGGTACTCCATGATCTGACCCTAGGCTCACCCAGTCTCATCTTCTCCTGAACCCTCAATACTAGAGCCACCCATTTCCCAGAATACATCATGCCTGCTTCGGTCCCAGTTTTTATGCTCAAGCTGGTCCCTTTGCCAAGAATGGCCTTCCTTCCCAAACTCTTATCCAATAAACCCCCACTTGTTAAAACCCCCAATTCAAATGTCCCTTTTTCAACAATGCCTCCCTGACTTTCTGATCATCCCCAAAGTCATTTATTCATTTAACAAATACTTATTGAGCACTTACAATGCAGCAGGTACTATGTAAGTGTTAAAGATACAATGGTGAGCCAAACAAACATGGTCTCTACATTCACAGAGCTAGTATTTTTCTCATTGGGGTGCTATGAGGATTAAATGAGATAAAAATATATAAAGCACTTAAAACAGCATTTAAAATACACAACCATGTTCAATAAATATTAGCCTAACCATACTATCTAAAATAGTTGCCATACACTCATATACCTTTGACCCTTAAACAGCACAGGTCTGAATTGTGTGGGTCCACTAATACACAGATTTTTTTACAGTATGGTATTGTAAATGTATTTTCTCTTCCTTATGATTTTCTTAGTAACACTTTTTCTCTATCTTATAAGAATACAGTTTATAATACATACAATATACAAGTATGCATTAATTGACTATGTCACTAGTAAGGCTTTCAGTCAACAGTAGGCTATTAGTAGCTAAGTTTTTGGGGAGGTAAAAGTTATACTGGGATTTTTGACTGCATAGGGGTTGATGCCCCTAACCCTGGCAATGTTCAAGGGTTAACTATATAATGTCACTTTATATTTTACCCTGATTTATTTCTTTTTAGCACGTATGACTGCTTCTCATCATAATTACAATTGATATGTATTCTATGAAAGAGGGCTCCGTAATAGAGGGGGTGTGACTTAGGGGTCTTTTTGAGGGGTAAGCAAGGTAGATGAGGTTTCCCTGAGTTCTCTGAGAACTCCAGGATATGCAGAGTTAAGCAGGCAAAAGAGGTACCACCACAGGTCATTCACTGTGCCATTCTTGCTATCAGTTTTCCACAATACAACTCCTATAATTTAATCTTTCAGTTTTCTTCCTAAAAGCAAAATTCTGAGAAGCCAGCTGTGACTATCCCATACCATGATCCCACAACTTTTCCTTTCTTTGCATGCTTTGCATTTAAAATTACTCTTTTTGCTTGATGTCTAGACTGTCCACACATACAATATACAAAAAGGCAGGGATCATATCTGTATTATTTGTAATATTCCCAGTGCCAACACAGTCAATGGCACTCAAAAAAAAAAACAAGAATAAAAAGTAAGAACTACATCTTAAACCTGTGGTTCTCAAAGTGCTGGTCACAGAACAGAGAACATCAGCATGACATGAGGACTTGTTAGAAATGCAAACTGGGGCGCCTGGGTGGCTCAGTCGGCTAAGCATCTGCCTTCAGCTCAGGTCATGGTCCCAGGGTCCTGGGATCAAGCCCCGCATCAGGGTCCCCGCTCAGCGGGGAGTCTGCTTCTCCCTCTCCCACTCCCCCTGCCCCCTGCTGTGTCTCTCTCTGTTAAATAAATAAATAAAATCTTAAAAAAAGAAAGAAAGAAAGAAAGAAAGAAAGAAAGAAAGAGAAATGCAACTATCAGGCCCTACTCCAACCTAATAAATCAAACTCAGGAAGTGATGGCACAAACCCTCCAGCTGATTCTGATTTATGGTAAAGTCTGAGAACCCTTGTTTTAGACATCTTAACTATTCAAAACACAACAATGAAAATTTTGAAAAATATAAAATGCAAAGCTTTATAATAATGTTTAACTCTATTTACTGAGTGCCTACTACATATATTGCATAAGGAAATAAAAAAGAACAGCCTCACAGGTAATTCTCAGCTCATAATAAGCTAATATTTTGCCTTCTCTTCACTTCTCCCGGACATACACTCTTAACTCTGCATGTATGTGTTTTTTGTTTTTGTTTTTAAAGGTTTTATTTATTTGTTTTAACAAGTAAAGAAAATCAAGTTAGTTGCAGGCAAAGTCGAAATTATAGTCATGCCTAATATATCTTCCTAGTCACATTTCCTACTGTACATCCTCATTTCCTCACCTCTCCATGCTAAATAAAGGTAATCTGCTACCTATAATACATCCTAATTACTTTCTACTCTCATTCAAACAAAGCATTCTTTGCCTTCCCAAAATGATCTATATAAACCATATTCATCTTTCTGGCCCAGCACAAATGACACCTTTGGATCGTAAATACCCAGAAAGAGTTTAAATCTTCTCCCTCTGTACTCATACATTCATTCTCAGTGGGAGAGCCAATGCTTCCAAAAGCCTAGAAATTTGGTGTCTTAGGCAGGACAGCTTACTTTATTCTAAAGAGATCATTGCATCTTACTAAATTTATTTTTTGCCCCCAAAATAAAATTCTCCAACTCACTCTTTCTATGTAGTCCTCTAGTTGTCTCAAATTTCAGTTTAAGATCATACTTGTCAGATAGGAAAATGAGAGCACAAAGTGAATCATTCAAGCATGGATATGGCCTGGGCACTGGGAATAACAGGAATAAGTAGGCACAACTGCTGCCTAGAAAAACCCCACATTTCAGGGGGAGATACAGGTTACCACACAAAGATAGTGTGATAGATTGTGTATGTGAAGGGTTGTTGTGGAGGGAGACACAGAAGAACCACCTAAAAATGCAGTCAGTTAAGAGAAAGTTCACAGATTAAATGATTTTGTAATAAACCACTTTCCTAAAAAATGAATGGGGTAAAAACAAAAACTGACTAACCTCCTAGAACATGATTACCAGGACTTAGTTTTGACTAGAATATCTTATTCCTCCCAGAGACCAAAATTTAGATTGCTGATATGATCAGCAATGTGTTTATTAAATGTACTGCAAACCATGTGTAACCCAACTCAATGAAAAACCAACTGAAGCCTCAACTTATTTTGAAACAGGAAGGAGAAAATTTGCAAATATAAGCGTCTCTCAAGTAAAGACAGAGAGCGCGAAACAAACGATGGTATTAGAAGGTATTAAAGAGACTGGCACAATCTGACTGCCAACCTGATTTTCAGTCTCAGATGCCCTGGTCTCTGCCCCCAAACAAAAAACAAACCGTTTGTTCTGAGTAATAGTTAAGCTTGCAAATAAATATTTTTAAATTTCCCAAGCTGTACGTACCTCCACATTAAAAGACACTCAAAATAAATTTAAAAAAAAAAAACACGTTTCAAAACATGTTTAATTATTTGTCAAAGGCTAGGTATCTCAAAAGGTCATAGAACGGATGCTGGCCGTCACCCCATGCTTCACTCCAAAACACACTATCACCCAGGTTTTGCAATAACACTAGGCAATAAGGCGTCAGGCTCTCGCCAATACTTCCCATCTCCCCCTTTCCCTCTACAAAAAAGAAAAAGAAAGCTTACAAATCCCTATCTGCCCGCCCCACTGTTCCTGGGAAGCAATTGCCCTCAAATTGTTCCTGCACAGACCCCTGAAGCCTTAGAAGGAAATGGGGACAGCTGTGAGTGCGGGGGAGAAACGACATCCGATTAAGGGGGAGAGGAAATGTGGCTGGTAGAGGACGAAGGGGAGAAAGGATACGGAGAGGAGGGGGCAGTGGAGATAAAATAATTAAAGGGTGTAAGAAGCGAGAGCAAAGAGCAGGAGCGAAAAATAGGGAGGAAGAAGAGAGGAACAGAGATCCCAAAAAGAGATAAAAAAGCAAAATGGTAGAGGAGAAAAGGAAGGTCGGGTTAAAGGACGAGGAGGGGGCGGCAACGGGGAACGCGAAAGAAGCTGTCACTGGGGGTGATAAAAAGGGTGTCACCGGGAAAGAGAGAGCTGGGGGGGGATGTCACCCCAGCAGGTGGACGGGGAACAGGGGGAAGGAGAAGCGGGGGCGCCGAGGGGGACAGTAGCAAGGGGGTGAGGTAAAGGCAGGGGGCAGAAGGGGGCACCAGATCTAGGGAGGGGCAGGCCGCGGGGGCTAGGGTGGCGTGCGGCTGAGGCTCCGGCAGGCCTCGTTCCCTCACCATGGCTGCGCCGGCCTGGTCCTCGGGCGTGCAGCCTCTGTCCCGGGTTCGGCGGCGGGCCGGGCCTGAGCCCGCCCCCAGGCTGAGCCGGCGCGGGGGCTCCAGGAGGCTCCGGGAAGCGGCGGCTCCGGGCTTGGCCCAGGCCTCGGCCTCCTTCCCCCAGAAGCTGGAAGTGCAGCAGCCGCAGCCGCAGCCGCAGCCCGAGCCGGAGCGCAAACTCCGCCCCCGCGAGGCCCCGCCCCCCACTGGCAAGCTGAGTTTGGTCCCGCCTCCGCCCTCACTGCGCAGACTCAGTCAAGGAGTCGCTACCGCGCGCCTGACCTCTGGGTTCTGCCCCCTTGCCAGGCCCTTAAAGGAGCCACACCCCCCCTCAAATCGTAGCTTCCCTCTAAAAATAAGAGCTTTAGATATTATGTCATAACAGGAGATTGGAGCACTCACTCGTTTCAGTAATCTATAAGCCCTTGCGTTTCCGGTTCATTGTCATTCGTTACCATTGTCGTAATTGTTGGTGATTTCCGTTCTCTTAGGTAATTCTTTCAATGCCCTCACATCTCAGGTTCTCCTCTCCATTAGGGATCACCTTGTCTCAATCTCTCATTTCCATGCTCTTACCTTAGATCTCATTACCAATGATTGTAACCCCTGTATAATCTCAATTTTAATTATCCAGCTCTCCCATTACAATCCCCTTCATTTCTAGATCTCTTCCTCTAATATCCAAATCCAAAACTTCAACTCCTCCAACACTCAAAATCCACTGATCCTACCACGTTTTCACTATTCCTTACATGGCCCTTTTATCCTCACTTCCGTCCTTGAACGTCCTTGAGTTTAGATTCTGTTGTCCATCATGAAAATCATTCCTAGGTATTAGCCTTCATTTTTCCAGTCCTGCTCTCCTTTCCTTGTGCTCACCTGATTAAACTCTAATCCTAAACCTGCAGCAAAACCGAGGAGAGTGGAGAAAAATTCAGAATCATACTGACTCGGCTCTCTAAATCTGATAATCTATTATCCTCAAATAGGCCCCTAATGCTTAGCTACATTTCTCCAGTTTCATACACTGTCCCACCATACTAGATGACTGTCAAACTTTCCTCCCCTCATCCTCATTTAACTGATGATTTTGCTACTAATTCACTGAGAAAATGAAGCAAAAAAAAAAAGAGAGAGAGAGAGAGATTGAGAAGATCCACAGCCAGCCACCATGACTTCCAGACTACCTCTGACTGCTCTGCCTGTAATTCTGCTCCTATATTCTGCCTTCCTTTCCTTTAGGAGGCATGAGCCATTTGACTTTTAACTGAGGTCAAACTCTCCTTAGTTCTTCTCAAACTACCTCTGCTAAAAGACTTTTTTTTCTCTGATCTCAAACCTAATTTTTGTAAAATGTAATAAAAATTAATTACTAAAACAAATTAAATTTTAAAACAGACATACCAACTGCAAGCCCAGATCATTTTTTTTACCATCTTCACCACTTTTAAATGTACAGTTCAATGGCATTAAGTACATTCACATTATTGTGCTACCACCAACCACCATCTAGCTCTTGAACTATTTTCATCTTGCAAAACTGAAACTCTGTACCCATTAAACAATCACCCCTTATTCTCTCCTCCTCCAGCCCCTAACAACCACCACTCTACTTTCTGTATCTATGAATTTGATCACTCTAAGCCAGACTTTTTGTTATTAAGTTCCACAGACACAATTTTTCTGTTAAATTGCTATAAAAGCTTCTAGGGGCACCTGGGTGGCTCATTTGGTTAAGCATCTGACTCTTGGTTTTGGCTCAGGTCATGATCTCAGGGTCATGAGATCCAGCCCCACGTCAGGCTCCATGGTCAGCAGGGAGTTTGCTTGAGATTCTCTCTCTCCCTCTCCTCCTGCCCCTCCCCCCACTCACACTCTCTATCTCTCTCTAAAATACATAAATAAAATCTTTTAAAAAAAGTTTCTAAATATTTACTCTCAATTTTTACCATAAATTGGTAACAAGCTGTTCACAGACCATCTCTAGTCCACAAATCACACTTTTGGTAGCACAATGCTAAGTCCCACATGGTTTCATTTCCTCGAAGACATCTATCCAGCAATTCTTTCTATCTTCTACATCGTCATTTTGTTTTTCTCTCCCATTGACATACCAACATGGACTTATTTCTTCCATCTCAAAAACAAAACCAGAAATACCTCTCTTGACCCAGCTTGACTCTGCAGCTCTCAGCCTGGCTCTCCAGCCTGCCCCATTTCTCTGCCCTTCTTTACAGCAAAACATCTCATAAAGGTGGCCCGTTACTGTGCCTGCTCCTCGATGTCTTGACTTCCTTTTTCCCATTCTGTGGACCCATCCTCTACTACTCCACTGAAATGCTCTCATCAAGGCCACCAGTGACATAATTTATTAACATCAATTTTCACTCTTACTCGACCTACCATGAGCACTAGACACAGCTGATCATTTCTTCCTCCTTGGCTACCATGGCACTCCACTCCCCTGGATCTTCTTCTATTTCACTGCTGCTCCTGGCTTCTCCACATTTCTCTGACCTCTAAAACACTGTCTCAGTCAAGTATTGACTTTGACCTTTTATCTTTGCCATTTATACTCCTTCCTTGATGATCTTATCCCATCATATTACTTTAAATATGATCTATGTAGGGTTAATCCCCAAAATTACACCTCCACTCCAGACCTCTGTTCTGAATTTCAGATTTATATATCCAACTACCAACCACACACCTCCTCTTTTTTTAAAAATTTTTTATTGTTATGTTAATCACAATACGTTACATCATTAGTTTTTGATGTAGGGTTCCATGATTCATTGTTTGTGCATAACACCCAGTGCTCCACGCAGAATGTGCCCTCTTTAATAGCTATCACCAGGCTAACCCATCCCCCCACCCCACACACCTCCTCTTGTAAATCTAGTAGATTTCTATTGTTCATTAGTAGCCACCCAATAGACTTCCCCTCAAGTCCTATAGGCTATGAATAAACCAACAAATAGCAAAGGGAATAAGACTACCAATATTAGCTTTGACCAATCATGATTTAGTCTCTATGTCTGATCTGGGAGTCACCATACCTGAGGACCTTGTGGTAGTGGAGGAAAATCGCTATTAAAAAAATTAGGGTTCTGCCATCAAGAAAGAATGAAGCCATAGTTGATCTATAATCAATGACACAGAATAGAAAGTCCAAAAATATATCCAAATATGCATAGGAATTTAGTATGATAAAGGTAAAATTTTAGGTCAGTTAAAAAAATAGTAGTATTTTTGGTGTTAGAATAACTGCATAGCCATCTAGAAAAAATTAACTTGGATCTACACCTCACATTATTTACCAGGACAAATTTCAAATACATCAAAGATTTAAATATAAAAAAAATGAAACTAAAAAATACTTGATGGATCCATGGGGGAAATTTTTATAATCTTGAAGTGAGGAAGGTCTTTTAAAATATATATTTAAAAAAATGTGGTTGCTATAAAAGATTGACAAATTCAATTATGTAGAAATAAAAAAATGTTTGTAGGGCAAAAAACACCTTAAGAAGAGTAAGATGGCAAATAACTATAAGCATGTTTGCATTTCATATCATAGGAAATTGATAATTTTCATATTTATATACAGAGTGGAAATCACGAAGAACTAAAATACAAGGGGAGATGGGTGGGAGATGGGCTAAATGGGTGATGGGTATTAAAGAAGGCACTTGGGACACCTGAGTGGCTGAGTTCGTTAGGCGTCCACCTTTGGCCCAGGTCATGGTCCCAGGGTCCTGGGATCGAGCCCCACTTTGGGCTCCCCACTTACCAAGGAGCCTGCTTCTCCCTCTCCCTCTCCCTGCTGCTCTGCCTGCTTATGCTCTCTCTCTTTCCCTGTCAAATAAATAAATAAAATTTTTAAAAAATAAAAAAGTTAAAAAAACATAGACGGCACTTGTGATGAGCACTGAGTGTTGTATGTAAGTGATGAACCATTGAATTCTACTCCAGAAACCAATATTGCCTAAATGTTAACTAACAAAATTAAAAAAAAAAAAATCCAAGGGGAAAATATGCAGAAGACATAAACTGATATTTCATAGAAATGGCTCTTAAATGCTTACTCTTACTTGTAATAAGAGAAATGCAAATTAGAATTTGTTTGAAATGCTATTTTTCATCTATCAGAATGGCCACTATCCACAAGACTGATAAGATGCTGTGGTGGCAGGGGCAGTTTGACATGTACTCTTCTATTTTGTTTGTGGGAGTGTAAATTGGAGTGACTATGGAAGACAATTTGAGGGTGGTATTTATCAAATTTTTATTTATTTTATTTTTTTATTTTTTAAAGATTTTATTTATTCATGAGAGAAATAGAGAGAGAGAGAGAAGCAGAGGGAGAAGCAGGCTCCCAAAGAGCAGGGAGCCCGATGTGGGACTCAATCCCAGGACCCTGGGATCATGACCTGAACCGAAGGCAGACGCCCAACCATCTGAGCCACCCAGGCACCCAAATTTTTATTTTTTTAAAGATTTATTTATTTGAGAGAGAAAGAGCGAGAGCACACATGCTGGAGTGGGGGAAGGGGCAGACGGAGAGAATCTTCAAGCAGACTCCCTACTGAACCCTACAAAGTGTTACATCCCAGGACCCTGAGATGGTGATCTGAGCTGAAACCAAGAATCGGATGCTCAACCTACTGAGCCACCCAGATGCCCCTATCAAATTTTTAAATGCACATTCCCTTTGACTCAGAAATTCCACTTCTAACAAGCTTTGTTTATAACAAAAGATTGGAAAAACTTAATTGTTTATTAATAAACTGGTTAAATAACAGTGTATTCCTACAATACATACTCTGCTGCCACAAAGAATAAGCAAGTTCTTTATGTAGTGATATCAAATGATTTTCAAGATCTATTAAGTGAAAAAGCAAGGTCTTTTTTTTTTTTAAAGATTTTATTTCTTTATTTGACAGAGAGAGACACAGTGAGAGAGGGAGCACAAGCAGGGGGAGTGGGAGAGGGAGAAGCAGGCTTCCCTCTGAGCAGGGAGCCCGATGCGGGGCTCAATCCCAGGACCCTGGGATCATGACCTGAGCCAAAGGCAGATGCTTAACAACTGAGCCACCCAGGTGCCCCAAAAAGCAAGGTCTTAATGTATATCACATACTGTCATTCCTGTAAGAAGTGATGGTGGTAATATAT